CTGGGTTACCTGAAGGAATCTATATAAGCGGCGACAAGAACCAGACGGGGAAAAAGTGAAGTGACAGCAGCGTCCGAGTGCAGAAGCACAGATTACAGAGTATAGATTGGACAGTTTTGCTTTCCCGCCAAAATGATTTTGCTAAATGCAACCACTGAGAGGCGTCGTCCAAAAATCCAGAGGATCAGCTGATTGTTTGCATGCGTTTGTTTTGGACATATGTCCATAAGAGGACTTTGAACATACAGTATTTTACAGTTAAGATTATTCCGTCAATTTTCAATCTTTCAGTCTATCAATGTTTTTAATTTGCAATCATAATGCATTTTCAACTAGTTTGATAACTGTGATATTTATCTTTGTTTTACAATAATGAAGCATTACGTGGCTCGGAGAATGACTAAGTATTGTGTTCGGAATTTTGTGATCTCTAGATAACTGTGGTATATTTGAGTTTTACAACTGAATATAAGGTAGCCAGATACCAGCCGCTTCCAGTGTTGTGTTGTGTTCGTGAAAATGAAAATGGTCGACGATTTCGATTTCCTGAGAGTCACTAAAAGCTTAACCCGAAATAATTTTGCATCATTTTACTCCAAGATATGGCCTGTACAGAAAATATACAATAAAAGAACAGAAATGGCCGCAGTCCAAGGCTGGACGCTAAGACGGAAGGAGTTTTAGTGAGTAAACAGCTTGGCTGGAGCCCCACAGAACCCAGCGCAAAAACAACCATCAGGTACCAACTGAACGTAAATAGCAGGTAATAATTGGATAGTTATATCAAAACTTCTGCATATTTGTTCAACATATTTATTATTTAATGTGAATAAAACTTATTTCAAGTTTTGTTGAAGCACTACACGATCTAACTCATGTAATCTCAATATAAATTACATCTCTCAGGTTTTTTAGTTTAATAAATACCTATTGTAGAGATAAATTCATGTGCTTTATTTTCCCGATTTGCCCTAGTTTTCACACGAACACAATTTTAGCAGGCGATTTG